AAGGCCGTGTGGTTCCCAGGTGTTTGGGGGTATTTCACGAGGAGACAGGTACAGAGAAGCAGAATATGGGGTCCCCTCCACACGACTGGTGAGTAAGAAGCAGGCAAAACCCTACGACCCCCACAAAGCCTGGGGGTCAGAGGGAAGTGCAGGCAGCAGCAGGGAGAGGGCAGGGGTGGGGTACAGGCAAGGGTTGCTCTGGGCTCCAGTAGGTGGAACCCCTACCTGGCCAGTTCCAAACCAGAGGTGGCCTGGCAAGGCCTGGGGTTGCCTGCTGTTAAGAGGTGGGACAGGAGGGCCTCCCCTGGTGGCACAGGCGGTTGAGCGCAGCGCTGTGAAGCTGTCCACAGCCTCTGCAGCGCCGGTTTGATCTGGCCGGGCGGCGAGGGTTCCACATGGCACGGCAGACCTCTCCTGTCTCACCCGCTGCTCCCCTCAGCAGTGTATTTCATTCAGGCCGCCTGTTCTGTTCCCCACTCTGTCTCTGGTGAATCCTCTCACCCTCCCGCACATCTGGCCTGTACCCTGGTTCTTGTGTAAAATAAATAAACCTTTAAAAAAAAAAAAGAGGTGGGACAGGAACAGAGTAAAGGGAGTCTGGGAGGAACATGCAGCCTGGGAAAGTGCCAGAAGCCATAGAAATGAGGCCCAGGTGTAGTGTGCAAGGGGGGCTGTATTTTGGGTTCCCCTTTTGGAGGCTTCCAAGAAGGCCTCAAAAGCCAAGAGTTCCTGAGCAAGTGCTCTGCAGCAATGCATGTGCAGCTTCAGGGTGGGCAGTGGGGTATGGAGGCAGGTCCCAGAGCTTGTGGCAAAGCAACGTAAGGAACAGGCAGGAAAGGAGAGAGAAGGAACAGGCCCCTTGGACTGCACGGAGAGGCCCACAGTCCACTCAGGCCTGGGCAGTGGGTCCCTAATCACAGGCCAGCTCCTCCAGGGAGCAGAAGGGGAAGCGCCTAGGCTGGCGACCATCCTGGCTTGCCTGGGGCTGAGAGGGCTTCTGAGGACACAGAACTTGCAGCCTTAACACCAGAGATATCCTGGCTGAACTGGGAGGAGCTGCCCCCTGGAAGCCAGAGAGCCTTCCATTCTGGGCAGGGTGACTTTAGCCAGCGATTAAAGAGGCATGGCACCTGGCCAGTCAGCCACAATATATGTCGGGGCCGGCACCCTTGCGCATATCACCCAAGAGAGACACATTACCCCCAACCTGCAAACTGGCCCTCAGGCCACCCTTTTACCTCCACAGGTTCCTGGGACCTCCAGATATCCTGATCTAAGCCACCCTCACCCGCTGCCAGCTTCCCTTTTAGCTGGGTGGGGGGCAGTGGGGGCTGCCAGCAGCTCCTCCAACCTTGCAGGGTTTTTCTTAAACCAGAGGCTTAGGGATCCCAATTCCGCCTCAGGGCCTTGGGGCGGGGGTCAATCCTCTGTGAGAGCTCGCATCCTGGGAGCAAGGCTCGACCTGCAGGACCCTCGGTGTGTCACACACCAGCTGCTGGCTACTTCTTGCCACCTGGTTCTTGCCACTGGACCTGGCCTCTCTCCTTTGGGGGCCCAAAGCCCCGCGGGCAGGCGCCGATGTGACAGGCGGGTTATGTATGTGTTCGCACATGTCCGAGCAGCAGCGCTGACAGAAATAGCCTCATCTCTCCAGCGACACAGATAGACCTGGACACTGTGGTGGGGCTTCTCCACAGAGCACTAATTACGAAAATAGCAGCAATTTCAAAGTGAAGGGGAAAATAAGAGCAAGGAAAATAAGAGCAAGCATCGGGATCCCCCGCAGGGCTCTGTGAGGCCAGGCTGAGGGGCCCGCCCACGAGCCTCTGCTGCAGGAGGTCCAGGGTGGCCCAGAGCTGCGTTTCTGCTGGTGCAGGGACACTCTGAGAGCACAGGCCAGCCCCCAGGGGCAGGCAAGGCCCAGAGCCTGGGGTGGGAAATCTGTTCTGTGAAGTCACCGTGATCGCCAAGTTTAAAAAGCAGCTAAGAACTGTGTTTCGAAGAGGAAGCTGGTAACGCCAGTGAAACCCTTTTATACCTGCTTTTCTCTCACCAGTGTCACGGGCCAAATGGTCCCAGTGCTATGGGGTTCCCAGGAGTCCCTAAGAGGCCTGTTTTGGCCTCTGTAACCCCCACCACTCTGCCAATCCCCCAAAGGCTCGGGGTGATCGCGGCAGTCACGAGCAGCTGCGGGGACACCAGAGTCCCTCTCCTGTTCCCAGGCCAGGGTGGACCTGGGTCAGAGGGGCCCCCACGCGCAAGCACACAGATGTGCTGTCACCGAATCAGGAGCAGCAGGCGTGCCATCCCGGGAGTGAGCACATGTAACCACCCTCCAAAGACACAAAAAGCGCTCAGTCCAGCAGCGGCTACAGCGTCTTCTGCACATAACTGTGTCCAATTGGGTTTGCACTCCTATGGGCTTGCTCCTGGCAGCGGGTCAACTGCCTGGCACGGAACAAACCTGCGCTTTCACATGGCTGCTCCAGCCAGTTCCCACCTGTGTACAGGGGAGAGGTCCTGGCAGGGGGAAGGGGGTGGCCCCCAGCCCCCCACTTGAAGCGCTGCCTTTCTTCTCTAAGCCCACTTGCCCTCCACTCACCCTGCAAGGCCTCCTCTGCCTTTCTGCCAGCATGTCAAAGAGCGTGCTGGTCAGGTCAGGCTCCTGTGTTGGGGAAACCACCCACTTATCCCTTAAGGAACTGTCTTCTGACCCAGGTTTCTGTCTCTGGAGCCCCCGCTGGCTCTGATTGGGGACCCAGGGAGCTCTGTTTTTAGCAAGGTGGGCACTTCTGACTCCATCAGCTGTCAAGGCCTCGCATGAGGAGAAACACGAGCCAGCTGGCAGGAGGCACACAGCTATCTGCCCTATCAGTCGGGTATTAGTTACCAGCCTTGATGCCAAGAAGAAATGGGCTTCTTGCAAACAAAAGTGATGGAATTCAGGCTGGGGCGTTATATAACCCACCGGCTTTCCTCGGACAGTGTGGGGATACTTCAAGTTTTTAAGACGCAGAAATGAATTGGGGAACAGGAGAAACACCAGCTCTCCAGCTGCCTTCTGCCTCCGAGGACCCACCAGCAGCCCGTACTTTCCTCTCTCCCCAGCCTGAGGGGTTAACAAGAGCTGGCGCTTTAAGAGCGGGAAGGTGTTGTTTTAAGGGCCTCTAAGCCCCCCTTCTCAATTTCAGCTTGGAGCTGAGCTCACATCCCCCAGAGCAGCCCGGGACAAAAGCCATTTATCAGCCCATCTGATGAAACTTCCAATAGGCCGATCGTTATCCAGATCAAATCCAAGCACAGGCATTACGAATTGCAAACGCCTAATGCTCCATTATTACTGTCATTTCTTAGTTCTTGGGAGGAACCAAAATCATCCTTTCAGCCAGACTCTTTCCTAGGTGGAGAAACTGCCTTTTAAAAGTGGGGGGCTCTGGGGGGAGCCACTTGACCCGCCAAGGGTGGAGGTTTACTATTCCCCAGCCAGGGCGCACGGGGATCAGCGGGGGCAGGTATTCTTTGAGGCACCGACACTCTCTCTTTCTCTACCCCCGCCCCCCATCTTGTCCTTGGCGGGGCCTCCCCAGTGGAATCCGGAGCTGGGAGCAGGTTGCCGCTCTCCGGGACGCCCTTGGGGCGCGCAGCTGCCGGGTGAGGTGAGCCGGGGTGCGCCAGGCCCGGCCCGGTGGGGGTGGGGTGGGGGTGGGGGTGGGCGGAGTAGGGCTGGGGCTAGAAGGTAAACTGATCCCTCGCCCCTTACCGCTGCCTGCGGGGGCCGCCAGCCAGGAGCCCCAACTTGCAGCCAGGCTGAGCCCCAACTCCCCGACGCCGCCAGTTCCTGAAACCCAGGTTGGCTGAGCAGCTCAACAAAACAGCTCCAGCCTGCTCTCGCTCAAGTCCTTTCTTGCAAAGCTGGGCTGTGCGTGGGGGCTGAGGATCGGGGCGAAACTCGTTCGCATTTTTGCAAAAGGCACCTCGGGAGGGCAGCCCGGAGCCCCATGGAAACAGCCGCCAGATCCCGCCTCGCAGCCGAGACCATTTGGCCCGTGGCACTGGGTTTATTTTGTCTTTTTAAGCCAGAGCAAAGTGGGTCTAAAAGGGTTTCCCTGGCGTTACCAGCCTGTTAGCAGCATATGGCAAAAATGAAATAAAGTTTTATGAAACATTATAAAGAAAACAGACCGGGGATTTAAGTTTCGTGCCTTCCCCACCCCCCGAAAGGGGAAAAAAAAAAAAAAAGGAAAAAAAAAAAAGTAAAGAAACTGGAGCGTTTGGGAAGGAACAAACGCTTCTCTGTGGAGTTGGTCTCCCTTCCCCCAACAAAAACAAGAGGTCCGGGCTCGGAGGAATTTGAAAAGCAGCGATCTGCCAAAAACATTGTGAAAAACTATGGGGGATTCATTGGAAACAGATGGGCTTTTTCAGCTTTAATTCTGAAATTCTCTCCCTTTCTGACACAATAAAAACAAACAGGGGGCGACGCGCAAAGTTATCAAACAGGAATACGGGGCTCCCGGGGGCCGAGCCGTGGGGTCCCCGCGTGGGCCAGTGCGTGGGGGCGGGACGTGCCCGCGAGGAGGGGGCGCCCCGGGACTTGGCTGCACCTCAGGGGCGCCCCCGGCTCCACCCCCGGGCACCCGGCAGGTTTGCAAACGGGTGGGCGCGGAACCCGAGAAGCGCCCCCCGCCCCTGCGCCCCAGCTCCGAGCCTCGCCTCCGGGACCCCGAAGGGCCGCGCCCCCGGGACCCCTTTCTCGGGAGGAAAGTGGGGGGCGCCCCCGGGCCCCGCGATCTCCCCGCCCGGCCTCTGTCGGCCGCCGGCGCGGGATCCCCCCACCCGGGTCCCCGCGGGCATCCAGCGCGCCCTCGGCGGGGAGCGCGAGAGACAAAGACCCGCGGAGCCGGCAGGGGGGGCCGGGGCCGCCCTCCGCCCGCTCCCCGACGTGGGGCCCGGGGCTGCGGGGGCGCCCGAGGCTCGGCCCGGCCGGAGACCGTCCTTACCTGCCGGGAAGCTGCAGAGCAGGAAGGCGAGGGTCGGCCAGAATCCCAGGGCTGAGCGCGCTGCCCCTCTCCCCATGCCCATCCATCCAGCTCGTCCTGTGACCACTGGCCTCTCCCTGGAAGAAGAGTTTAGAGGGAACAGGGAGTAAGTCGCGCTGCGGACCCAGGGCAGCCTCGCGCCGCCGGCGGGAGCAGCGAGCCGGGAGGCTCGGTCCACCTCGGCCGCGGGCGCCCGGCGCGCCCCCCCTCCGCGCGCGCCCCTCCCTCCGCGCCCGTCACGCGGGTCCCCTCCAATGTGGACGCGGCCCCGGCGCGCGCGCCCGCCCCCTCGCGCTCGGGTTTCAGCGCGGCCCGCAGGGGGTGGAGGGGGAGCGGGGCTGGGCGGGGACCGAGGCGCGCGGCGGGGAGACCCGGCACCCCGCGCCCCGGGCCGAGCGCGCGCCCCTGCTCCCACCCCCGCGGCGGCCCCGGGAGGGAAGCCGGTCCCCGGGCGGAGCGCCGGCGCCCCCCGCCCGCGTGCTCCCCCATAAACAGCCAGCCCAAGTGGAAACAGCCCTGGGAGGCGAGTCCCAGGTCCCCTGGACTGCTGTCCCGAAGCCCACGCCGACACCCCCTGCCTCACTGCGCTGGCTCAGGTGCGTCCGGAGCCAGAGGCTGCTCCATCCGCTCCGAGGTGTCCCGGGTTGGGGCGCAGCCACGAACGCACGCCCAGCTGCCCGCCGCGGTGGCCCCGGACCCCGACTGCGCCGCGCTGCACCCCGCGACTGCTCCGAGCCCCTCGCGGCCTCTCGAGGTCTTGCCCTGGCTGCGCCCCCCGAGACTGGGGGCCCACAGGCCCGCCAAAGGGCGCAGGCGGGCAGCCGCCACCCTGGAGGAGGTGCGGACAGGGGTCCCCGCGGTGCGCACAGCCGGACCCCCGGCGCTGCCAGTGAGGCCCCGAGGCCGGCGCGGTGGGGATTCGGGATGCTGACCTCCCGGAACGGTGGCTTATTTTTCCAGGAGAAAAACGTCTCCGCCCTAAGGCCCCTGCAGCCCTCCCGCCATGGCTGGGATACTTAAGAGACTGGCAACTTCCCCTGAGAAACATCTTTTGGATGAAACACAAATAGATCAGAGCAAGTGTTTTCAGTCAAACCAAGACCTCCTTCAACCCTCCGGCCCCTCCCCACCCCCAGCCTCCTCGTCTGGTTCTTTGGAAAATAATTCTCAGTTTTTATCCAATTTAGCTGTTTCTCTTAAGCACTATCACAGTCCTGACTTGCTGAAGGCCACACAGGCTGCAGGGCTGAGTCGGCCAGGAGGGGAGAGCAGCTGGAAGAACAGACTTTAGGGAGGGGGAAAAAGCTCTCGAGCTGCAGAGACAGAACTCCACAGAGGGTGCTTTGAGGTTTGACCTCCACCCAGGTAAGAAAGGACACTGCAGTCTCCACCCATACCCCCAACACACACAACTGGGGCCAAACGCCAGGGGACCTTTGAGGGGGGGGGACCCATTTGTCTCCTGCAACTATTTAGGTCTCAGCACAACAGGCTCTGCCTAATTATCACTCTCCCCAGCTGGTGGTTTTTTTTTTTTTGAAGCGCTGGTGTGCAAAATGCTACAGGTTTGTTGGGTGAAAGCCCACCACCTCAAAATCTGGATCACCACTGGACGATCACTCAAGCTTGGCCTGTCCTGGACCTCACCCAGCAGCAGATTCTGCAGCTCACAGGACAGCTGGCACGTGGGGCAGCCAGAGGGCCAGGCCCCACGGAGCCACTTGGAGGCCCAAGGCAAATACCAATGGCCCCACAACTGCCTTTCCCAAGTCAGCCCTACAGCCTCTTGCTGTAGTCAGCAGCCCTGACAGTAAAATCACCACAACCCCCTGCAGCAGCATCTCCAAGTCAGAGAATGGGGTCTGGATCCCACTTCACAAGCTGGGAAGCCTGGCCCTTGCCTGAGTGGGCCTCTGGGAGCTGGGTGTGAAGATTCCCTTGCACCCCTACACCTCAGTTTCTCCATCTGCAAGGGGTAGGCCAAGGACAGCATTACCCTGAGACTCTAACCGAATGTGGTTTGGGAGGGGCGCCACCTGGAGTACCCAATTGCCCCTGTGGGCCATGGCCGCCATTTTGGGAAGAGCTCTACATCTTATTATGGCAGAAGCAAGTAACACAGGACATTTTTCACATGCGGAGGAATGCCTGAGGCTGAATTTGGACATCTCACAAGTGGGGATGTGGCTATTAAATAGTCTAGGCTATCAGGAGAACCCCAGCGGGGTGCAGATGACCTCGAGGAGTCTGTTTTCCATGGCCAAGCCCACCAGCTTATCGACAACTCCCGGACACTGCAGGAGTGAGAAAATCTTACACTCTGGGACTTTGGAACTCAGCACTCCTTTCACCATAGAAACTCACAGAAGTGTCGCTGCCCCCCGACAGCAGCCCTGTCACAGGCTGGCCACCCAGGTTGCAGCCCGGGCCTTGGGTAGAGACGTCTCAGGCATGGCTGCTGTCCCTTTCCCCCAGCTCTGCTATGGAGGCCCCACCACTGAACCCTGGCTCTGAAAACCAGGGCTGAAGCCAAAGGCCGTTATAGGTGGCGCCCACTGGAGAAGGGAGCTGGTGAGAAGCGCCCCAGGGACAATAGTATAAAGGATGGGTAGGGGTGGAGACTCTGATAAGAAATAGAAGAGACTGGAGAAGCTGCAGCTCCCAGGATTCAGCTTCCAGGATTTCAGCATTTTCAGATCTTCAGCGCTTCCGGGGTCAGCGATTTCTGCCCCCACCGCGCTGATATCTTCCAGAAGGCTGTTGCAGGCCTCTGCAGGACGTGGAGCGGCTTCCAGCAGCCAACGTCAGAGAGGAAAAGTTAGGAGGCTTTGCAGGTGGCAGAGCGACTGCAACTGTTCCCAGTTTGGCTGTTACAGCCCAGCAGGAAGGCGAAGACCTGGGGCTGGCGCCTCGCTGAGCTGGGTGAGTGTGGCTGTTTGTCAGGTCGCTTGGCCGCTGCAGCTGCTGTTTTGAGTGTAGCTTCTTTGGTGCGGCGCTGGGGCATCTCGGCAGCTCCGGGAGCATCTCCTGCTGGTCTCCTGTTGTCTTCGTGAGTGGGATCCTGGCCCACAGTCTGCCTGCCACGTACTCCTGGTCTGCAGTGGCGGGAAGACGCCATCTTGGGAGTGTGGCCTATTGTTCGCGAGAGGAGATCCACGGCCTCGGTGGTGGGAAAATGGCTGTCTTGGAAGCCTTTGCGTTTAGGACTTTAAAACACCGGGCACAGCTTCGGGTGAGGTAAGCAGCCATTTGTGGCCTCAGTGACTCTTTATTTTCCCTGGTTTGTTAAATTAATCCCATTATTGTTCTCTGAACCTGAGTGGTCTTGCAATTGTGCGCACAGGTGAAGAAGGCTGAGGGCCACTGGTAAGCTATTTGGGCACTGTCTTTGGACAGTTTTAGTGCCCCTTGCTGCCCTGTATCAGCTCCTCATCTCTCTCTCCCTCTCCTCCTTGGGGTAGGGTGGTAGAAGGGCGGGGTCTGGCAGGGACTTCAGCTTTGCCCGGCACCTGGGCATGATCACAGCATGCCTGAATTCAAGGCCTGAGTCATCAGTCAATAGGGAGATACTCGGTCGGGACCCCTGCATGCTAACCCCTGGGCCATTAAAAGAAATAAGACAGCCCTGTCTTTGAACTGCTGGTGGAAACAGACATTAGAAGAAACGGGGGGGTTGGGATGGGCTTTCCCAAAAGGTGGCATGTCTTGAAGGATTTATTTTTATTAAGGTCGACAGTGATAATGGCTATTTCCAGTGTGCTTCCTTTCACATCTGGTGCTGGCTACATCCTTGACATTTCTAGACTCTTTAAGCAAGGGGGATGGGGAGAGAAGTTCTCCCGTGTGGGAGTGGGCCGGGGGAGTTAGGGGCAGACAGAAGGAGCGAGTATGACATGTACCAGGGTGTGGTTGCCCGAGGAGCCAGATAAGCTCTCAGATGGTGGCAGGAGAAAGAGGAGTCTGCAGGGGGCAGGAGTTTGGGGCTTCCTGTGGGAACAGTGCGTGCGGCACCTGGAAGTCCCAACCTAGGCAGGCCTCAAGGAGGGATTTATTATTTTGGGGAGGCCACTCTGGGGGGGTTGTTAACGATAATCCACATGTCTAGGCCTCACTGCTGAACAGCTGAATCTGCAAGACTAGGGGTAGAATTTGGGCATCAGCGTTTCAAGGAGCTCTGCATTTATTAGATTTCCATTGCTAATGAGTAGGGAATTAGGTTAGCTCGATCCCTCACCCCCACTGACCCTGGGTGCACCTAGGTCCAAGTTATGTCAATCAGCTAATCCCCTGGGCTTCAAGACAGATAACCCAATCATCACTTTCCATAAAGCAGTGACTGGCACTTGACTGAAGCTGACCACTCAGAATCTTTCTCAAGACTGTTGCTATTGGAGAGTCCCCAGTTCTGGTCTCTGGTGCCAAAAGAGGATGGGCCTGGGGTAGCGATTAAGAGTGTGGCAGGTGGAAGCCATGTGTGCAAAGTTGGCATACTGCTTGACTAAAGGTGCCTTTTCTCTGGTGAGATTTTTTTATTTTTTAAAAGATTTATTTATTTATGCATACAAGAAGGGGTGTGTAAGCCAGAGGGGCGGGGGGTGAGAGGATTCACCACAGAGAGCGGGGAGCAGAACAGGCAGATGTACTGAAATACACAGGTGAAGGGAGCAGCGGGTGAGTTGGGAGAGGTCAACTGAGTCATGTGGGTCAGCGCTCTGGTGGGGGATCGAACTCGTGCTGCAGTAACTGGCAATAGCTTGATAGGGCTGTCTTTAACCCCTGAGCCGCCAGGGAGGCCTATCTGATGAGCTTTTTGGACACTGTGGGAGATTTTCCAGGCTGGCCCTCCCCAGCCACTCTTCAGCCTGCAGTTCTACCTGTATGCAACTCTGTGGCTCCGCCGAGGTGTCTGTTCCCCGTGGAAGGCAACAGAGTTCCTGTTTTGTTTTTTTTTTTTGTTTTTTTTGTGGGACCCTCGCCAGCAGCCGGGGAATGAACCGGCGCTGCAAAGGCTGCGGGCAGCCTCACAGCCCAGTGCTCAACCACTGCGCCACCAGGGGAGGCCCCAGAGTTCCTGCTT